GAACTAAGGTACTATCACTATGATTTTCAATGGGGGGTGTGCGATAGACTTACCTCCTATTACCTGACAGTTGACTTCTCACTTCAAGCTACTATCACCTCACTCTATGCCATATTCGACTATTTACACAGTACTCACCTCACCTTTTTTCTACCTTTGTGTTTGTCTCTTCCATCTTTGAAACACTCTTCTGTTCCCTCCTCCTCTCGACTTTTTGTCACTTTGATGTTCCTTCCCCTCTCTGTGAAGCCAGAAGTCAACCAAAAGGCTAATGATAACCATCAAGACGCCTGTCATTTGATATAAATAAATTATTTTCAATGGCCGTAAAAAATGTGCACATTTTTGTCATGGTAGAGCATAAGAAGAGAATCCAACAGAGCATGAAAAAAGCAATGTTGGCAATAAGCAGAGATTGAAATAGGGACCTTGTAAGTCCTACTTTAAACTGGGTGCATTGGACGGTCCATAATTTCATAAGGCAAAAGGTTCACTTGGAGATGCCGTACTATTCAATCTTCACCACTTGAGCCATGGATTCATAGGTACAATTTTGTTCACTATTTTCTGACCTCCTCGACTGGTAAACCAATTTGTGTGGTTGGTCATTCCACTCTAACTCATTTATGTTCTTGTACACATGTAAATGAAGCAAGTAGAGATACATGCAACGTAGCACAACATACTAGACCCCACTTTCATTAAAACAAATTAGCTTAGTTAATGTTAGGCCAAGTAAATAAACACCAAATTAATAATAATTAAATCCATTCTGTGTTTACCATGGAAGAAAGCGGTATAATTAACCCTCATACATATCCATCTCAAATTAGAAAGATACGCAGATGTTTGACAAATAGCTGCGCTTTTTAATTAGGACACTAGGGAGAAATAGAGGCGTATTTAGAAGTGATAGAGTAGAATTGACGAACTCACTCAAAATGGAGCTTCCATTCGTCATCGGGGAGAATATTGAGGACAACACGATACTCGTGAACCATGAAGTCTTCTCTAAGCAGACTAGATGCCTCGGGAAAGTACTCAGTCGTTAAAGGCAGGAGGGCGGGAGTGGTCAAGGACTTCCAATCGATACCTATTAAATAAGATACAAAATCCACTCTTAGATCAAAACTATGACAAAAGCAAAAAAAACATTCAAAAGTTAAAGTGCTTTCCAAGCATCTCTAAGTCAAATTATACAATGTTTACGGGGGCAGAAAAGTGAACAGACTATAACTTACCTAAGGGCTTTATCATTTCCTTAAGCAGACCTGAAATAAAAGATAAACAATCCGAAATAAAAGAAACTAGTGACTTAATAGGAAAAGTTAACGAAAAGAAACATGTACGCACGTCTGTGTTGAGCTGCAGGAGATATGGGAGATGACGTTGTTCCATCTCCAGAATGTCCAGAAGGAAAGGCTTTTTCAAGGCTTTCGGCTTCAAGAGGAGAGATGATGTCCGCAGATGCTGGTGCACAGGTCTGAACGAGGTCGGAAGCATCAACCACCTCGCAGAGAGCCCTCCAAACTGCACTATTGGCGAACTTATGGGGAGGGTCAATAAAGGGCAGCGGTGCCAAGTCAAAACTATCCAACCCTGAATTAACAAAGTATTTAAGAATACTTATCGATTGCAACGATGGCTTAAATATTAAATCGATAAATAGTAAGAGGTTTCAGATTAGTGAAAATTTCTTATGCATCGTTCTCCTTATTTAAGCCTATTTGACAATCGATGAATAATTGCCATTTAGTGATCACAATTAGCATATTAGGTAACACACACACACACAATAAGGCATTTATTAAAGGTAAACGGAGAATGCTAAAACAATCCAGAATGACAAGCGTAATAAGCCGATTTATAAGAAAATCTACACTAAATGGTAGAAATAATGAAATGATGATAGGATAGATGCTTCCGAGGGCTGATGCTCTTGGAAAGGTAGATTTTCTAATGTTGCTTAAACGAATATTTTCAGCGGGAAGAAAGGAAATTGGCACTTAAATAAATTGGTATAAGCTTTTCCAATGGAGAGAGAGAGAGAGGATGTGCTTTGCTTACATGAGTATAAAAGTAAGGAAGCAAATTTTGTGCAATCATTAGTAGAAGCAAAAGATTAATAGGGGGCATGTTGGACGAGAATTTAAAAGACTTCGTTAGAATATAAAAAAAATTGGCAGGAAAAAAAGCTGGTCTTAGTAATTAACCTTAAGCAAAGGCGATATTGCTATTAGGACAAAAGGGGATTTCCAGGATGATTTGAGACGAAGGTGATGGGACCCTCCATGGTAGTCCAAAATGGAAGCAGATAAGCCTAAATGGGCAGACATTGAATACTTTTGCTGTCAGAGAAGGCACCAGCCTCTAACTCATAAGCTGATAAGTGGAAGGAAGAGGTGCGATTGACCACGGAGAATAGCGATAAGTGAAGGAGAGTAAAGAATTAAAATACGTGGGATCACGCATTGCAAGTCCCAGAATTGTTCGCACATTTTGACAGATATGAAGTCATTCCAAAAACAACGAGTTGCTTTTGAAATCAGCGATGATAAAATGTTTGTTATTTGTAATTAGCATAAAACTCATTCCTTTTTGAGAGCCAACCACACTAATTATTAATTCCCTTCTTCACACTCATTGTAAAAAAACTAAGAATAAGATAAGGGCACTAAGTCACAACAGTTTCAACTCCGTCAACAAGTTACAAGAGAAGATGCAAAAGGTAAATACTGATCTCAAAAGAAAAAATTTGCCTTAAGGGCAAATTCTATCAGATTTGCCCAAATTGCCCTATTTGCATTTTAGGGACACAAATAACAGAAAATACGTAAGAATTTCCACTTCCTATTAAAATTTGGAAATAAAGTTTGGTAATGGCACTGGCCAAATAAACAACAGATAGGAATCCGTCAAGAACATGACTACTTGTCATCCTCATGGAGCAGCAGGAATAATGATTGCTTCCACTTACCTCAATCGGAAGTATTCACCCAACTGAGTAGACAATAGCCAATTCAAATACGAATATTAGATTATGGATGGGTAGTTAAAGAAAAAACTCAGAGAAAGCCTCATGCAGCGTTTAAACATTCGTCATTGATTTTGTTCAGATGGACGCTAAACTTCCTCTCTTCCCTGGAATCTAAGCCCGCACTTTCTGATATAAATCGATACAAACATAGGTAATAAACATGAAAAATTACGATTCTATTCTATTAGTAAAATAAAGCATCACGATGCTCAATGTAATAAGTAGGTGTACTTTTAAAAGGGACGAAAACTTACAAGCATGTTCTTGTTTAATAACATTATCAGATTGTACCGTGGACCTAAAAAAATAAGGAAACAACAATGAAGTACCACATTCAACGAATTCTTTGTTATCAACACTGAAAGTCACGTACGATTTAGATGCATTTGGTTTAGTTATGTATAGGGCAGAGCATTGATGATTCAGCTTGTCGCCACCGATGTGAACCTTGGAAACACTCTCTTCCACTAGAGTCCCCACAACGTGACGATGAAAGTCAAAGTAAGCGTGCCACACCTAAGAGAGTAAAAACTTGTACCTGCCATTCTTACTTGCTTATTGACAAGCGTCCAAAACTAGCAATAAAATTGAGATTAGGAAAGAATGGAAAATCAGGGAGAGCATGATAGTCACATTATGTGCAAAAGTTGAAAGAGTAGAGGAGCTATGAGTCGATTTACTTATTAAAGAATGGGCGTGCGATAGACTTACCTCCACGTGGTGCACCCTGGG